TATTCTATTTGTTTAGTGTGTTTAAAATCGTTTAAAGAGAGTCAAAAATATTTTAAATCATTTCTAATTATGTTGATTCAGTCACTCTACCGTACGAGTGAAGACGAGGGCAGAAGCAAATTCATAATCATAATAGGTGAACCTTCGGTAAATATTTTAGCCAAAGCTATAAGAATCGATTATCGATAAAATGTTCCATAGTATAATATTGCCACCACGCATCCCTAGTCAGTTATACGTGATGGCGAATCTGACATTACGTACTTAGGTCAAATAAAATCTACAAAAATATCTTATCTCTTATAAGACTTATACAACACATGGTGGTGTAATGATAAATCATAGAAAAAATATTGATTAAGTTTACTGTGTCTCGATTTTTTAAACGCTTAAGTTTTAGATAAATATGTTTCTGCCATTGTTCTTTATTTATATGATAAAGTATCAATAAGAATATAATAGTCCGGGAGGTACCGTTGCAAATGAAAAAGTCATAGTAAGCCGGCTGATCTTGTCATCGATGGTTGATCTAATATGACCAATAACTGAACCAACCGTCAGCTGCTCAAGTAGCGGTGGGTGCGGGTGTGTGTGGTTCCGGAAGTGGTGAAAAAAAAATAAAAAATTAAGTCATAGTACGCCGGCTGAAATTCTTTTCATAAATATTTTACATCATACAGAGCTAAAAAAAAATCGTCAGCTGCACGGTGGAGGACGGATTATGCGTCAGCCGCTCGCTTGAACTTGTAAAATACATATACACAGGTCTATATATCGTTCAAGCCTCCGGCAAGCAAGCAAGCACTTCAAAAATTAAACGAAGATCTAAATAGAATTGTCGATTGGTCTGCTCGCAATTCTCTTGTGCTCAATCCTCTGAAAACAAAATATATGCTGTTTGGCACCAAATCCCAGCTAGGTGCCATCCCACGTAAAACACGTCCTGTTGAAGTAATGGGCGTGCCGATTGAGCGAGTTTATGAAGTTCGTACCTTGGGGATAATAATGGACGCTGACTTGAGGTTTGAGAACCACATCGCGAGAGCTGTTCGTGACTGTTTTTATAAACTAAAGGTCTTGTACAGGGCGCGGCCATTTATAGGTGAAGAGCTGCGAATACTTTTGGTGGAGAGCCTCGTCTTATCTCGACTAAACTATGCAGACACTGTATACGGTCCTCGACTCTTTTCTAGAACAGAACGCCTGATACAAAGACTTCAAAACGCTTGTGCCAGGTTCTGTTTTACCGTACCCAAAAGGGGTCATGTCACCCCTTTTTTTAATAAGCGCAACATTTTAAAAATGCATGCGCGTCGAAGGCTTCATATGGCAAGTCTCTTATTTGGCATAATTAACTTCCGTACACCGTCCTATTTATTTAACAAGTTAAAGTGGACATTTAGGCACAACCAAAATATGAGTAGAGAATGCTCATTGCAGCTTTCAATACCACATCATAGGACAACTGCCTTTAAGGGTAGTTTTCGTTACTCTGCGTCGAAATGCTGGAATAATATCCCTCCTCCCATAAAAAGAAGACCAAGTGCGTATTCTTTCAAAACGAAATTGCAGGAATTCTTACTTGAGCATCAGAAGGATTTCGAAGACGTCAGAGTAACTTTTAGCGTGATATAAAATGTAGTGCGTGCCATGACCTTGAATGCCGTGCTGTGCCGCATCTCACCTTATTTTATTAATAACTAGAAATTATTGTATCTTTACTATCATGGTCATAATGTCTTAATTCAATCAAATAAGAATCGATTATCGATAAAATGTTCCATAGTATAATATTGCCACCACGCATCCCTAGTCAGTTATACGTGATGGCGAATCTGACATTACGTACTTAGGTCAAATAAAATCTACAAAAATATCTTATCTCTTATAAGACTTATACAACACATGGTGGTGTAATGATAAATCATAGAAAAAATATTGATTAAGTTTACTGTGACTCGATTTTTTAAACGCTTAAGTTTTAGATAAATATGTTTCTGCCATTGTTCTTTATTTATATGATAAAGTATCAATAAGAATATAATAGTCCGGGAGGTACCGTTGCAAATGAAAAAGTCATAGTAAGCCGGCTGATCTTGTCATCGATGGTTGATCTAATATGACCAATAACTGAACCAACCGTCAGCTGCTCAAGTAGCGGTGGGTGCGGGTGTGTGTGGTTCCGGAAGTGGTGAAAAAAAATAAAAAATTAAGTCATAGTACGCCGGCTGAAATTCTTTTCATAAATATTTTACATCATACAGAGCTAAAAAAAAATCGTCAGCTGCACGGTGGAGGACGGATTATGCGTCAGCCGCTCGCTTGAACTTGTAAAATACATATACACAGGTCTATATATCGTTCAAGCCTCCGGCAAGCAAGCAAGCACTTCAAAAATTAAACGAAGATCTAAATAGAATTGTCGATTGGTCTGCTCGCAATTCTCTTGTGCTCAATCCTCTGAAAACAAAATATATGCTGTTTGGCACCAAATCCCAGCTAGGTGCCATCCCACGTAAAACACGTCCTGTTGAAGTAATGGGCGTGCCGATTGAGCGAGTTTATGAAGTTCGTACCTTGGCGATAATAATGGACGCTGACTTGAGGTTTGAGAACCACATCGCGAGAGCTGTTCGTGACTGTTTTTATAAACTAAAGGTCTTGTACAGGGCGCGGCCATTTATAGGTGAAGAGCTGCGAATACTTTTGGTGGAGAGCCTCGTCTTATCTCGACTAAACTATGCAGACACTGTATACGGTCCTCGACTCTTTTCTAGAACAGAACGCCTGATACAAAGACTTCAAAACGCTTGTGCCAGGTTCTGTTTTACCGTACCCAAAAGGGGTCATGTCACCCCTTTTTTTAATAAGCGCAACATTTTAAAAATGCATGCGCGTCGAAGGCTTCATATGGCAAGTCTCCTATTTGGCGTAATTAACTTCCGTACACCGTCCTATTTATTTGACAAGTTAAAGTGGACATTTAGGCACAACCAAAATATGAGTAGAGAATGCTCATTGCAGCTTTCAATACCACATCATAGGACAACTGCCTTTAAGGGTAGTTTTCGTTACTCTGCGTCGAAATGCTGGAATAATATCCCTCCTCCCATAAAAAGAAGACCAAGTGCGTATTCTTTCAAAACGAAATTGCAGGAATTCTTACTGGAGCATCAGAAGGATTTCGAAGACGTCAGAGTAACTCTTAGCGTGATATAAAATGCAGTGCGTGCCATGACCTATACGGCACCTATACGGCACAGTACGGCATCCAATGCCGTACTGTGCCGTATCTCACCTTATTTTATTAATAACTAGAAATTATTGTATCTTTACTATCATGGTCATAATGTCTTAATTCAATCAAATTGTTATCCAATTAGTACTCATTATATATTTAAATGTTTCCCTATTAATCAAGTTATTATACAGTCACTATCGTTCTCGGAATATTCTCAAACCAATATTTCTTTATAACATGCTATACTAGACTATCATAATGATCGAATATTTATTCTATCTAACAGACACGCGGACAACACCCTTGGGCTGCGCTGAAAACCAGCGCCAGGTGCATTGCGCCTAGCATTATGCTGAGTCGTGGTCCATATTGGAACAGATGTATTTTATACATGTCTCTGTTGTAAATATGTAACAATCCTGTAAAATGTGCCAATTAAAGTATTTTTCTTACTTTCTTCTTCTTTCTAAAAAAACACGTAAAATAAAGTTATAGTACGCCGCATGAAATTTAACTAACTGATTGTTTAAATTATCAAAAGTACGAAAACAACAATCAGCTGCGTGGGTAGCGGTGGAAAGACCGTCAGCTGACGCAGTAAAAGTTAAAAATATTGGAGCATTGCTACTACGCTGTCTCCTTTTAAACACATATTTCGACATAGATTCTGTCTCACTCCTCGATATTTAAGGTTGGTAGAACTGTCAAGTGTCACTTGCAATTGACACGACTTCACACCAGTCACTTTATCTTGTTGGGTTATTTTGGTGGAAGTTTTCGGCAAATTTCTCACTTCACAGTAATTAATCGCGTGTGACTCTGATTTTCCTGCACTTTCCACAACTTGATCTTTGTTGATAGTAGCAGAGTAGTGTTATTAGCACGGGTTTAAGTACAGTTTCGAGATATTTTTGTCGAGACTGATACGTCTGTTGCTTACCAAGCCGAAACCGGAATCAACACATATTCAAACACATATTTCGACATAGATTCTGGAGCTGCCTGAGACCATAACACGATCTTCGGGTTACCCAAGCCTCTCCCCCTAAAATTTCAAAGGAACATCAGTTTCGGTTGTACTCTTTGAAAGAACGGACGCAAGTTTGAATATGTCGAAGATCTAACCGTTCTGTCTTTTTCTGTGGCAAAAAAAAAAAGAAATATTTATATCTTTTTCTGACAAAACCATAAAAAAAATGCTCCTTTATATTGGAGATTCGTCAGAAAAATACCGTACCGCCATCAACACCCATTACTAGTCCACTGCTGGGCATAGGCCTCTCCTTAGAAAGGAGAGTTTGGCCTACTATACCACGCTGGCCAGACGGGTTGGTATAAGGTTTGTGTCAAGTTTTCCTCCTATCGCAGTGCTGTTTTTCTGCGTAGTTTGCTCCCTTAGTTGCCTCTTACGACACCCATGGGAAGAATAGGGGTGATGACATTAAGTATTCTTAATCCGTCATCACACAGACACAAAAACAACGCTTTATTATAATTAATATTGCTTTTTGGCAATCGTGTTATTGTAGTGAAACTAGAGTCTAAATTAATCATGAATATTTGAGGAGTTATCATGAAAAAATAACGATCCAAATAAAAAGTATGGAAACTGTTGTATAATTTACTATAACACAATAATAAAACCGATTAACAAAGGAAACGGCAAATGTCAACATGCAATCAGATAGATTTAAAAAAAATATGCCAACCTTTAAGCTCCTTAGCGTCAGGTGCGCATCTGCCTTCATCGAGGACACACTTGATGTTGGGCACAAGAACTTTTTTGTTGCTCAGCATCTCATCCAAATTGACGGTGTCGTAACGATTGGTGTAGTGTTCATCAGGTCGCGCCAGGGCCAAGCCAGCGGAGAAAAACACGCAGAATGCAATAGCAGATTTCATTTTGATGCTGTCAAAGGTTTTTTTTATATGAATTATATTTTGCATAACCATTATTATTTTTGAATTGTGGTTAAAGCTGCTTCTTAACGTGGGGTATATGAAGGTCTTTTTGGATTTGGACACTTTGAAAAAGTAAGAAGCTTCTCAAAACCCTGATATCTAGTTTATGATATGGATTTACCATAGGAATTAGAATACAATTTAAAAAAGTAACATAATTCTTAATAATTTGAAAAGAAGAAAAATGAAAACATAATCCACCAAGACTTTTTTTACTCGTTTTTTATAAGTATAAGTACCTGATTAAAAGCAGTATTACAAATAAAAAAAAATATAAACATTCCAGTATCAGTTACGCGTTACGTTACGTTAAAAATTGAATAAAACACACAATTTTTATGAAAAATGCATCCGATTAATTTATTTGATAGATAATTTTATGCAATTTATGTTTTAAATAATATATCGGCCAAATGACCGCCGCGGCTCTTTTTGCAGACGGTCACCCGCTCAAGCCAATTTTAGATGACGTAGTGCACCCTTTCGGCCGGTATGTCGGCTATGGCTCATCGAATGTTGGTTTTTAGGTCACGAATTGTAGCTGGATTTTTGCTGTACACTTAAGATTTAACGTAACCCCAAAGAAAATAGTCTAAAAGTGCTAAATCACACGATCTTGGTGGCCAACTGATCGGTCCATTTCTCGAAATTAACGACTCACCAAACTTTAAACGCAATAATTCCATGTTCACTCGAGTAATGGGAGGTGGTGCACGGTATTGTTGCAAATAAAGGTCGTCTGCATCAATATCATCAAATTCCGCAAAGAAAATATTAGGTTAATATCGAGTTATAGCGCTCGCCATTCATAGTAACAGGGTTTCCTTCGTCACTTTCGTAATAATTTTGGACAATTTCCAAGCGTTGGTTTAAAGTGAAACGTGACATGATAAAATGGCAAACCTTACTGAACACAAATGTCAAGAGACGTCAAAGATCCATTATCAAACATGGCCGCTATGAGCTGTCAAAACCAGGTCATCCCTATTGGTAGACCCTATTGGTAGAGTACTTGTAAGTTTTTTAGCAACTTCAAAAAGGAGGAGGTTATCAATTGGGATGTTTTTTTTATTTATGTTCGGGAATAACTTCGTCATATATAGACGGATTTTTAAAATACGTTATACAACGATACCGTGATTCTTGGGGATTTCATCACATGTCTTATTAGAAATGACGCGAGACGTCGAAAAGGTCCCTTGTCTCTTCAGTCAACATGCATATTCTTCCTCTGACTGCAACACATCATGCTCCTCGCTGTACCCATTCTCTTTTAGACTTAATTCTTGTCTCAGATCCCAATAAAGCTGCTGTGCATGGTCAACTTACTGCGCCTTTCTCATACCATGATCTTATCTTCCTCTCCTACAAAATCTGTTCTCCTAAACCTAAATCTAAATTCGTGTTTCTCCGTAGTTTTAAGAATATTAACACAGAAGATTTGAAAGCGGATGTGGAAAACATGGGCTGGTCTCTTGTTTACAACTGTGCAGATCTAGATACTAAGTTGGAAAAATTTAATAACATCCTGCTGAATCTATACACCAAACATGCCCCTCTAAAAAAAGTAAGACTAAAACATCTTCCTGCACCATGGCATTCAGAAAGAATCAAGCAATACATGTCCAAACGGGATAAGGCTAAACGAAAATACAGGAAAAATCCCTCTAAAGATAACTGGTCGGTCTACAAATCTCTTCGGAACCGCTGTAGTCGTCTGTGTCGAGATGCTAGAAGGCGCCACATTCATGACTCTATAAAAAATTTCAACACACCACAGGTATGGCAATTCCTAAAAACCCTTGGTATTGGTAAAACCGCCAACGACAGCGCACCTAACATAGATCTCAATGTGCTCAATAAGCATTTTTCCACACCAGCGATCTTGGTGGGTGCTTCAGAAAAAACTTCTACTCTTAATCACCTCTCTAGTCTTCCTCTGCCACAATGTACCTCATTTATTTTCAACCCGATTACAGAAAATGACACGAAGAAACAGATCCTATCTATCTCTACGAAGGCAACAGGTGATGATGGTATTCAACTACAAATGCTGCAACCTATTGTGGGTGATCTCCTTCCAGTTGTTACTCACATCATCAATTACTCCCTCCAGGAAAGTCTGTTTCCATCATCTTGGAAAAAAGCCCACGTAATTCCTCTGCCTAAAACTTCCAAACCTTCCTCGATGTCCCAATGTCCCTTTCTAAGGTATTTGAGAGTACCGTCCGGAGTCAACTGATTAGTTACCTTTCCTCTAATGGTCTGCTAAGTCCATACCAATCTAGGTTTCGTTCAGGCCACAGCACTGTAACAACCTTAGTCAAAATCACAGATGACATTCAATTAGCTATGGAGAATAAACTCCTTACCGTATCGGTCTTAATGGATTTGAGCAGCGCCTTTAACTCTGTTGATTTCGACATACTCTTGGGTATCCTTTCCTCTCTGAATGTCTCTAATCCTGTAATCGCATGGTTTAGCTCTTATCTTCGGGGCCGCACACAGCGGGTACGCTCCAGTGAGTCCTCGTCTGACTGGTGTGACCTTACTGCGGGTGTTCCCCAAGGTGGCCTTCTATCTCCTTTACTTTTCTCAATTTTCATCAATGCTATCACTAATGTCATATCTTGTCAATTTCATCTCTATGCCGACGACTTACAGATATATCGTCATTGTAAAGGTTGACGCTCTTGCAGAGGCCGTCGCTGATATCAATAATGATCTTAAGAGCATACATACATGGGCTAATTCATATGGGCTGCTTGTCAACCCCACGAAATCTCAAGCAATAGTTATTGGTGGCAGATACATATACAGTAGATCAAATCATTCCACACTACCGTCAGTTTTTTACAACAATGTTCTCATCTCTTACTCGTCTTCAGTAAAAAATCTCGGAGTTTTCATTGACAATTGCATGTCATGGACTACACATGTTACTGAGGTAAGTAAAAAAGTCTTTAGTACCTATCATTCCTTAAAGCGCCTTCAAAATTTTCTTATCTTACAAACTAAAATCTGTCTTTCACAATCCCTTCTCCTTCCCCTTTTAGACTATGCTGATGTCTCCTTTCTCGACGCTACTGAACAATTTTGGGATAAGCTTGAGCGATTGCAGAACTTATGCATTCGCTTTATATATGGGTTAAGAAAGTATGATCACGTGTCGGAATTCCGCAAGCAACTCAACTCAACTTTCTTTACTGTATTCGGTTCTTCATAACCCTACCTATCCTGTATATCTGAGTGAGCGCTTTAATTATCTTGTCCCCAGAAGTAGACCTTGTCGCACCTCATCTTCTCTTCTCCTTCGAACTCCTTCTCATATTTCAACCCGCTATGACAAGTCTTTCACTTTGTCTGCGGTGCGACTGTGGAATTCTCTTCCCCACTCAATGCGCGATAGCCCATCCTTAAGTGTTTTTAAGAGGCGAATCAGAGAATTTTTCCTTTCTCAGCAGTAACAGACTAATATAATTATGTATGCATGTAGGTATTAGATATTTAATGTTACATATGGTTATTGATGTGTGAACTTGTGTTATATTATGGTTTATTTACATGATATTCGGTTATTTCGTTGATATTTCTATTTCTCTATATTTTCTTAAATTTACTCTGTACACACGACTCTCTCTTGTTGTGCTATCCTCTCTTTAGTCTTGGGTTTGCTGCAAGAGAACTCAATTATGGGTTAAGCTCGCCTCTGTGCCCCCTATTCCTTAATGTATTTTTTATATAAATGTTTATATTGTGTACGTAAGAAAAAATAAATTAATAAATTCATTTTGATAGCGACACAAAATTTTCAATAGGACGTCACAAAAAAACAAATGACAGTTTCGCAAATAAAAAAAGTAACATATTCCCAAAGAGTTCCATTTTCGAATTCCATCATTGTTTTTCCATTCTTTTATTGCAAGTGGCCAGGTCCAAGGACTTTCAGTATGCCCCACGTACATAGACTAAAATATTAAGACACCCATTACCTTCGTGTGAAATTACCAGTTTCGTGATATTATCATCATTTTCATATTTATTTATAAATTAAATGTAAAAGTTTTTTTTAATCATGATTAAATGCTACAAATTCCTATTTTACCGTGGTAAAACCTCGTACACCGTGGTAAAACTTTGTACACAAGCAATTTTGGGCATGAAATATTTTAATGAGTTATGCAGTTAAAGTCAGTTTATACTGATTTGATGTACATGCTATTTATGAATATGTTAATAAACATTCGTTGTTCAAAATGAATTAATATTGTTTGTTGCAAACTTAATGATCTAGATCAACGGAAAAGTTTAATAAAACATAAGTTGTTGTTCTGTTATTTTTAGATATAGAACCGGTTTTTCTTTACCCGTTTCTGGGTAGACTAACTACGAGTCTTGCTATTGATACTTCGAAACTCGTAGTTAATGTTTTAATAGCCTTTTTTGCTTTAACTGTCAATTAACAATGTTTTTACTAAGTTTTTTTATTGGCATTTTTTATTAAAGAATTAATTGTTACGAATGGAGAACAAAGATTTTAAGTACCGACAATACGAACTTTATGTTAGATGTGTAATAAAGTAAGTAATACCTACCACTGTATATAACGGACTAGCTGACCCGCGCAACTTCGTCTGCGTCTCTCAATAGTAATAAATTTTCTCCGTTTTTGAAACATTCTTCATTGGTGCTCCGCTCCTATTGGTCTTAGCGTGATGATATGTAGCCTATAGCCTTCCTCGATAAATGGGCTATATAACACTGAAAGAATTTTTCAAATCGGACCAGTAGTTCCTGACATTAGCGCGTTCAAACAAACAAACAAACTCTTCAGCTTTATAATATTAGTATAGATATAACGATCGTGTAATTTTTTTTTATTTTTTATTTATTTTTTCTATGTTACGTTTCATTTTTTCCCATAAGGGAATTGCAGCAATGTTAGATGTTTAAAAGAATCTCTCTATAAACATTAATTTAATACATACTCGTATATATATACACATATAATAAATACAATACACTCAGACTAAACAAAATCGGAATGGGAATCGGACCTGCGACCTCTAGCTCAACAGCAACTGTCAATAACTATGAGACCAATAGGCTATCGTTTAAAGTTTTACACAATTACTGTAACCACTCAATATTTTTCCAGTAGGGTTCAAACTGGTTCAAACCCACGGGCACACTGTTATCACGGCGGTAAGACCCGTTATGGAGGATTGGCTCGAGAGGCATCACGGAACCCTCTCATACCCACTGACGCAGGTAATCTCCGGGAAAGGATGCTTTGAAGATCACCTGTGTCTGATCCGCCAGAATCCAACGCCTGAGTGCCACTACTGCGACGGCCCGGTGTGGGGGGAGCAGAGCCGTGGCCTCGTAGTGGCCATCGGAGTGGGAATTCTCTCACTCGGTAACATGAGTACTGCTATGGTACGGAGCGAGAGTGCGTGGAACTCCACCATTTCCTTCTACGAGAAAGTTATCCTTGAGAAGGAGATGGCGTAGCGGGACCGGTAGAGGTTTAGAATTCTCCCGGCCCGCTAGGCCTGGTAACGGGCCAGGTACCGCAGGCGACTCAGGTGACAGAGGTCGCAGAACAGACCGGTCAGACGGTCAGACCATCTATCACCCTAGCAGAAGCTGGCCGGGGTGGTGTTGAGACGCGCAATAGAATTTACCAAAAAAAAGAGGGACTAAGCAAAAATCTGTGGCATACACTTTATAAAAATATACGTGTTCAGCGCTCACTTCCACTATAAGTAGTCAGTACTTTTGACTTACTGCCTTGCTGTACCTATTTCCAAATGGCACATCGTAAAAGTATTTTCTGTAGCTTTTCCCCACCTGAAAGGCATTGGGGTAAAATTTTAATAACCCAGGTGAACAATTGTATACTAACTCTAAATCCATGACAATGGCGAAATTTTAATTGCATCACAAAGTCATTTTTCAACAGTTGAAATTGCGAGACTTCATTATTTCTGTATTAGTTTGCTTTTGGATTACGCAAATTTAATCATGTTTCCAAATATCGTATTTGAAACTAGACTAGTTTAGTTTAATCATAACAAAAAAAATAAGTATTTTAAAAATGGCTTTGTGATGCAATTACAATTTCGCCAATGTCATGAATTCATGAAACCACTTCCACAGTCTTTTTGAAGATCCTGTAAATTGTTTTATCATTACACATTTTCAGATTTACAACTTTATTTGTAATAGGAACTATCGTTAAATTTCTGGGTGTCCAATTGGTCTTCAATTCGATGGATCAAATTCTGGAGCTACTGATATCACTTGAGGTGCTTTCTCCATTTACTACGCAATTTCTTTGTTAATAAAAAATTGGTTCCGCTAACCATTCTATAACAAATCTGTTAATCATTTACATAAAGGTTGTAGGTTGAATTTATTTTGATTAAGATATTTTATTAAAACTTCGAAGAGCAAAAGAGATGAAATGCTACTAATGCCAAATTTATTATGGTTTGCCAATTAATTATAATTAAATTTAAAAAAAAAACACGTACGCATTTCTTCTTTGAAGAATCTTCTTTAAATAACTAATATTTTAAATGTTCTTATTCAAAAAAACATCCAGTAACTGCTTCCAATTAAAAATAACGAGAATGTGGGAGGTAAAATACTACATAATAATGAAAACCATGACGTGTTTTCATGTTTATACTCACGTTCTGAGAATGGGAAACCTGTTTCTCATGGACTCCGGGGTTAGTAGCCAATTCCTAGGTGCTATATAAAATATGCTCAGTTCATACTAGTTTATAGATACTCGTTAACGTCGTCATCTGGTGATCGTGTGTGATTAAAAAAGTAAGTCTTACTTATTTATTTATATCTTAGGTAATCGTTAACTTTTGTAACAAAACAATGAGCATCCATTGTGGCTCAGCTGCGGAGCATACTCCCTAGCAAAGCCACTTGAAACAGGTAGTCAGGAGAGATAAAAGCTACTGTTTTTTTATGAAAACTAATGTGCAAATAGTTTTTGTTGTGTTTGTAAAATATAATTATTAGGATGTGGTTTTGATTATTTTCAATTTACTGTAATTTTCATAGAAAACGCCTTGTTATTTTGTGTTACCAATTTTTTCAATAATATGCTCTTAAATTCAATTTAAAACATGATTTAAAACCAAACATATTTATATATGACAAAACCTACGCTGCTTATGTGAAACTTAGAAATTTCTGCTTTTTATATTATTATTTAAATCTAATAACGTATGATAATATCTAATAATATATGACGACACCATACATACATATTTAAATTACTACTGATATTAAAACGCTGGCTGCCTAAACATTCAATACGGTACCCTAACATCTTATGTAATCAATTTGCACTTCAAATATTGACATGAGCGTCGTAAAAAAATTACCTACGTGCGCTGCATCTTGAAATGTCTGTTTAAGTTCTTAGGTCAAACAAAAACTTGATACTAATATCTAATACTTAAAATAAAATTAAAATAACATTGCAGGGCCCAGAGATCGTACTGATTTTAATTTATGACTTTGATATTGAGTAGTCATTATTGTCGTGTAATGACATTAATGTTAGTTTAAGACATGCTGCCAAGTTAACTATTACCAACGTACTTAGACCAGTTATAACTTTTTATTGTATTGCCTTGAATATTTATGTAAATAAAGCGCCATAATTAGCTGAATGAAGTCTTATTGAATTTAATATCGTGCATTTATTTGCCTCTTTAAAATATACACACACTTATTTAAATTTACCGGTTAGTTCTTCGAATGTACAATATAGGATGCTTTTAAAATTTGGGTCGATTTAAAAATACATATCACAACATATTTTGGTAATGTTGTACTATAAGTCTTTTCATAACTCTTTTCGTTTTTACAGAATATTTCAAAATGAAAACCTTCATAATCCTGTGCACATTGGCCGTGGTCGTGTTTGGTCGCCCCGAGGATCACTACACTGACAAATATGATACCATTAACCTTGATGAAATCCTAGACAATAGAAGACTACTAGAACCTTACATAAAGTGCGGGCTTGAGCTGGGCAAGTGCTCACCTGAGGGCAAGGAACTTAAATGTAAGTTAGAACTGTATTTTTTCAGTTGCTTTATTTAAACTGAAGCTAACTGCGTGGGTGACCAGTATCAAATTAAAGTTCCTAGAATTTCGTTATAGTACAAAGAACATCTCACATTAATTTTTTTATTTTTAAACCTGGAGAAACTCTTCATAGCATTTCAAAAGTAAAATCATTCTTCAAGGAATGATCTATTAAAAATGGGGACAAGTTTTTTTTTAGTTACCTATTTCCTACTATTTAACAGTATAAATATTATTTAAAAATTATTGCCTACTACTGTCTAAGATCTGAAAATAGTCTTGTTCTATTTTCTATTTTTTTATAATTAAGAGAAATTGAAAGAATCGTGAATCACAAATGTGATAATGCTGACAAAACTAAAAGCAATTATTTAAATTACTCTAAAGATGTATTTTGCTCAGGTACTTAACGAGGGACTATTTTTTTAATTTTTTTTATCATATAAAACAAATTTACAAGAAATATTGAAACATAACACGATAAACCACAAATATTTGTGGACACTCCACAAATATTTGTGGTTTTTCTTACACAGAGAGTCAGTAACGCAAATTTACAATAGTTTTTAGAGTAGTACATAAGGAGATATAGGCAATCTATAAGCTTGTTTTATCACTACGAGAACTAAAATTTATGTATTTCTCAAATGTGAATACTTTAATTGTATCTAAAAATGATAAAGTTGTTTAAGAAAGATTCGATAAGTTTTAATTTCATGTTACCGTAAGTAATTTAATTAACTAAATTACCCCCGGATGGGGTAGCTTGTTTATCAATCGAGGAATTATGTAAATAGTAGTTTAACATATTTAATTTAATAAATTTTAGATTCGAGGAATTGAGATCGGCCGGATAATACCTACCTAACAAGACAATATTAAATATGAGAATTGCGTGTAATATTCCATAATTAATGCAATTACATTAACAATAATGACGCACCGCTGTTCACGTTTCTGTTCTGAATTTATTAGTAAATTTCCATTTACAGCTCACATCAAAGAAGCATTGGAAACTTACTGCGAAAAGTGCACGAAGGCCCAACAGTCAGGAACTCGCCGTGTGATCGCTCATCTTATCAACAAGGAACCGCAATACTGGAAACAACTTACTGCCAAATATGACAAGGATAACAAATACACTGCCAAATATGAAGCTGAACTAAAAATTATTAAAGTAATGTAATGTTAATGTAGATTTAAATGTGTGTGAGTTTTCTGAACTAAAATGATGTATTAGTGTATAATAAACTTCTTTTTTTAAGATATTGTATGATTAATTAATTTAAACTCCTTTATAATCCCGTATTTGACAATTTCAAAGGTTCAATTTTTCTTCTGCTTTTGAATAGAGCAGCACGGAGTTACAACTCCATCGCAATTTCGTCCCAATAGTATTTACCAATAAATCTCGAACAACAATTTCAAACATTAGATTAAATTATAAAAACTTAGCTACATATTATCAGGATTTTAGTTTCAAGTAAAGATGTAAATAAAAAAAAGCCGCTTAAGTAATATGGCTGTGGCATTGGCCGTGCGCTTAAAAGGTTGCGGGTTCGAGGTCCGACCTTTATAATAGCTACTTGCATATATAATACAAGCCTAAAGTAGTAGAAAAGGTGAACAAGACTATGAGTAATGTTGCGTTAAAAAACATAAGAAAATTTAAGAACTGGTACAATGTTAATAAAATTGTTGTTGTTGTTTTTGCCATTACTTTTACCGTGAAAACAACAGAAAAACAGTAAAAAATAAACCAACATTTGTCAATCACGTCACTCCACTATTATTAACTATCTGGGACTTTCCAGACGCCAGCAATCATGACTGTCGTGTGAAATTTAATTAGTATTTTGTAGTCTTATTGTGGGAAATAAGTATACACTTTATTATGAAATTTAAAACTCTACCCGTCAATTTTAATTTAAAGATTCTAAGGTATGTTATCATGTTATGTAGCACAATTATAGCATATAGCATAGCATAATTATAATGTACCTCACTAAACAGGTTACATAAAGCAATAAATAATTTAACAAATCCGAAATATTTAATATGTTTAGCGCATTCACTAAAACAACTCTTAAGTGGCAAAAAAACCTCCTTTCTAAGGAGAGGCCTACGTCTAGCAGTGGACTGTTAAAGATTGTTAATGATGATGGCGATAAAAGTATGTTATATTAGTGTATATCTACACATTATACTACAGACAAAGTAGTTCTTACGGAAGGTAAATAGCTATTTACAAAAACTAAGTAAACATTTGCCATGATCGTTGCTAGATTGCCATAACTGCCGTAATAACGTTTAAAGTTTTTATTTCACAACAAGTTTTAAAATATACAAATGTACTGCATTACCTTCAACTTGGATACTTCCTTCATTACAGAAAAATATCTAGCTGCAAAATAATCTTAACTAATAGTCATTTTGTCTAACTCGTACTTTTTCCATTTTTGACAGTATGTAAGTTGTTTTGCTCTAAAGTAGAAACTATATTTTTTCAATTAAAATAACTTAAGTATGTATAATTTGAATTACTTAAGATTCCCAAATATCCTATACGGGGCGAAAGTTTAATGGGGCAGCCTAATTCTGGCACGCTGTTACTGCAACGATAAGACGCGTTATGAAGGATTGGCTCGATAGGAAACACGGGACCCTCTAATATTGGCTGACGCAATGTAAGCTTTGTATTGGATTGGCCACTGCGATAGATATAGAGATAGCCAGAGCGTGATTACGACGCTCTACACGCTGTCAGAATGTCTAGCGTATATAGAGCAGGCATAACCTCCGGGATTGTACCAGGTACTGCAGGCCGCTTAAGCGATGGTGGTCGCTGAATCATCTCCGTTCTTCATAAGCGCTGGGCTCTTGGTGACAGGTGGCGGTGCGACGCGCTCCGTAGCTCCTTTTTGGGCATTGAGGGGAAACCGTGGTCACTACACATCAGGAGGCCCTCTGTAAGCCGTAAATGACTAAGGGCCAGTCGGGGTATCAGGGATTTCCTTTTTAGGTTACACTTGGTTGCCCGGCTACTGCTCGAGATGGCGCGGAGTGCTTGGTTAGGGCCAGCACTGACTAACTTCGCGACACGGAACGGCTTGGAAAAAGATTTTATTTCTGATCAAGTTCTTTTTATCCATATTGCCATGTGTTTAGAATTCATATTATTTTACTTTTTAGAAAATAGTCTAAGTTCCTCCTTTAATAGACGGCTACCTGGTAGTAAAATATTATCGAAATCGGTGGAGTCGTTTAGAAGATTACCCGGAACAAACAGACAGCCAGCAAAAAAATTAAACTGGTTTTTAGACATAAGTATCGTGCAAATAACAAGCATGAAAAAACCTATTATTTTGAAATTACAAACAGATACTTCAATTTTATTTATTTGTGTAGATCAGCCGTTTCTCGTTCTCGTTCTTTTTCTTTTCGTTTCGAATTACTTTTTTACTTTTTATTGCACGAGACAAGGGAGTGGCTACTATTGATATGATTCAGTGTGGCTGTTTTGTGTCTGTTCGCTCTATGTCGGCAGTATATCATTTGCTTACTAGAAGTACACCTTAAGGGTTTTCCCACCTTGGTATAACACAACTTAGAAGCAGTACAGTACTCTTCGAAGCATGGGAAAGTTGAGTGAATTAAAATGCAACGAAAAGATAATTTTACTTAGAATCGTTCCTAAGAGTCGTAACGATGTAACATGGCCTTGTCTTTTTTTGATGATTAAAGAGTATTCATCAAAAAAGGACAAGGCCATGTTAGAGAATTCTAAGACAAAGAGAGTTACTTAAACCTAGCTGATACTTTCAGAGATTACAATCTTTTTATTTTAATGTTTATTTGTCTGAACGAATTAAACAAATAAACATTAAATTAAAAAGATTTCAATGTAATACATGTAAAAATTTCATATTTCAAAAAGTTATTAACCTACAAACATACATAATCGTCGAATGAATATATATATATATAATGGTAATTATTATTTAAATGATATAGCATATATATAACTTAATTCTCGTGTCAGTGTGTAGTATTTTTTTAATAAGCGGTTGCTCTCCATTTTTTGGTTGATCTACTTGACATATTTTATATACAAATTTGGAAATGTTTTAATATAATTAAAATAACTTTAGTGTTATCTGCTTCTTAAGAAATTTGGCAGACAGTCATTGATAATGGTTGAGTAGTGTAAATATGTGAACTGATTTTTGAGTTTTTAAAGTTTTCATTACTTACTTCTTGGAAATAATAAAAATAAAAAACAAAAACTCTTTAGACCGACCTTTTGAACGAGGTGCAAACTGCGATATACATATTTAAACAACTTCGTATCATACTTTTTTGTATATGAATTCTCAACAGGTTTATAAATATGCTGTCGTATAGCGAGGTCTCCTATTATAAATAACCTTAAGAGCAGTGACGTGCAAAACGTAATAGGTAATAATATTTGCATATTTAAATAAACTATTTTCTTGTCACTATATGCACAAAAATATATAGAAATATTTTATATACATAAATTTGCATCATTGCGTTTTGTTAAATATATTACATAACGTCTAATTAGAGGCGTCTTGTAAAAAAAATGCAGTATCAGCATCTTGTAAGGCAAGGCACCTTTTCAGGGCAGCACAACTGAAAATTCAATCTTTTTCGAAGTTTTCCTTTTACTTTCTTCTTCTGTCATCAATAATAAGAGCTTCTTCGTATTTTCTCAATCATTATGATGATTCAGTACTAACGTTAATACAAATTAATTCAAAGAATCACAAAATATAAACATACTTTTTTACTTTTAATTGCGCGAGACAAGGCAGTAACTACTATTGTGATGTGATGCGGTCTTCAACAGTGTGGCTGTTTTGTATGTGTTCGCTCTCTGTCGGCAGTATATCATTTGCTTACTAGAAGTACACCTTAAGGGTTTTCTCATCTTGGTAAAACACAACCCAGAAGCAGTACAGTACTCTTCGAACCATGGGAAAGTTGTGTGAATTAAAATGCAACGAAATAATAATTTTACTTAGAATATTTGGAATACTTGGATTACTTGTATATTTGGTAAATATTGAACAGATTTATGACGAAATGAGTATTTTCGAGTAGGCGCCACTGCAAGTCTCGTAAATCGAAAATAACTAAACGATGAACAGAAAATTACCTTTAAATGTAAACTATTAAAGGAGCCTGTTTGTATTCCGACAAAATGACGTATGCAACTTAGTATACTAAAGCTAATTTATCATTGCCTGGCAATTTAATGATACTTTATTCATAGCAATTATGTGACTCAACTCATTCCTCGAAGTAAACTTAAGCCTGATAAATACTTTTGTTTATTTGACGTCATAGCATTTTCATCATCTGTTTTATTTTGGCTGCCAATATTTTTTTGCTTACCAATATGAGTTGACAGGGTAGACTGTCTGACTGACATAATCGCTGATTTGAACGATTTTTTTTGTGTTATCAGTCATAAATTTCTTGGAAATACATTTAATGATTTGGTTGAAATTTTCCATAGGGTTTAAGTTACGTTAAAAGACCGAAGATTGATGACCTGCTAAAATTACTCAGACACAGACATTATTATTTATTGCAGATCAGACACAGGTGATCTCCGAAGTATCCTTTCCCGGTGATCACCTGCGTCAACCGGTATGAGAGGGTTCGTGATGCCTCTCAAGCCAATTCTCCATAACCGGTCTTACTGCCGCGATAACAGCTTGCCCACGTAGGCCATTTCCTATGGTGGCCGGATTTCGACGAATGCCCTCCGGCGCCCGATGCGCCTTCTGCGGGTAAAGACAGCGTTGCTGCATTCTCTCTCCCGTCCTGCCGCTTCTTTTGTGGACATGACGGCGCTATTACTGCGGAACTTTTTATGCACTGAGTTTTTGCACACATCAAATTGCACCTAACGTAGTCGCAGGTAGACTCCACGCGAATAACCTCGAATTACTTTTTTCTGTAGATAAAATAACAAAAGCTGATTCCATTAGGTTGCTTTTAAGATTATTTATAAGTATCTAAAATTGTGACTCACTAACTAAATATAAGCTAAAATTAATTACGTTAATAAATTTTCAAGGTCAATTTAACCAATTGTTGATTGTTTTATCAATATTTAAATTTAGACAATTCTATAATTTAGCTTTTTGGAGTTGGAGCTAGGTCGTTGATGGTGAAATTCTTTTTTCCTTTTAATTCGCTGCATCGTATTACTAAACCATAATTATTTGTTTCATAATAATGACATTACAACTAAACGAACAAAGAACAAATGCAACAATCAATAGAGAATCAAATCACCAACAGACCAAGCAATGAGTATTTTGAACCGAACCTCATTTTGCTTACTCATTAAGAAATGCTGTAAGATTAAACTATATCTAGACGGTTTTTTTTCTAGATGTATCTATACATTATAACAACTAAGTCGAGACCATGATGTTATTACAGAACGACTACCCGCCGTGAGAAAACTTTAAGATTATCAGCCGTCTCTGTCAAATTGATTCGATGAACGATAAATATTTTTATTTTCTGTGAAGAGAAAAAAATATATACACGCAGACTAGAAGATAGTTTTTATTATGTAGATTATGACGCACCATCAGAAACATTGACGCACATACTAATCACTTTATTTTTATGATTTAATAGACATATAACATTAATAGGTTATTTACAAAGGCATTAAATACAACGCCTTGATCATCTGATGCTGCCATAGAGTGGGGTCCTCCGTTGTAAATTAAGGGCTGCGGTATGGGATAGGGTGTCGATCTGATCACATCAGGAAGCGATCAGGCCGCGATGTCATTATTGGGTCGACTGGCGGGGATGAAGAAATAAAGATATGGGTAGTTCTTCGAAACTTCATTATTTGACTGATTCACATGGGCAAAATTTTATATCACAATCAGCTCTGTAACACATGTTCATATGAAAATTGGTATACCAAATAACATATATTTGAATGAGGGACTCGTACATAAAAAATCTGATTCATATGGTCACAAAATGTTTGACATTTTGTGACCATATGAATCAGATTTTTTTACAGATGAATCAAAAACAGAAATAATTATGCAAAACTTTATTTAAATGGGCTCTGTATTAAGAAGATAATCATATTTTAACAACCACAATAATCAGTTTTTATGAACAATTTATCAGTGATCATATCCCTAAATAGCTGCTGGACATAAGAATAACCCTAATCCTGCTGGACCATAGGCCTCTCAAAGGTCCAAAGCTTGAACTACTTTTTCAATGAAAAAGATACACTTTAATTCAGGTATTTTTTTAACAATTTTGCCTTGATGAATACTATAAATACTTTTTACTTTACTATTTTACCTTTATGAATACGATAAGACGATGCAAACAGCTGTGCATATTAATACATTTAAATTTAACTTGAAGTTTTTTTAGATATCCAGCAAAATCAACAAATAAGGGTGACAAATTAGTCAATTTGTAAAGGAAAACAAAACGTTTGACTGCACTGACTTTTTTTCATAAAAACCTTTTTATTTAGCTAATCAACTTGGAAAAGTAAGAGTTTCCAATCGTCCACGCTGGTGATTGGTTTACTTATAGGTATACGTTTCATCGTTTGTATTGTATACAGCATTGCTTTCGATTACAGTTTTAAAACTCTTCTTAGTTATCAGCAGCAAGAAATGCTTCATAAGTTGATTTGTATTTATCTTCTGGGTCGTATTTGGAGACCATCTGTTTATAGTAGTCTTGTTCTTTTTCCTTTAGGTGTTTGACCACCTTTCTGGCCATTTTTCGTTGTTTGTCAGTACACTTTGCACAACCGTTTTGCAGGGCATCCTTTATGTGAGCTGGATAGGGATAAAAATAATAGTTATATATTTTACAATAACACTAAAAAGTTTATATAAGTAAATTTTTTAAAGATTTAGATTTTGTGTCAAGTTTTCTTTCTTCTTGTAGTACTGTTGTCCTGCATTGTTTGGCCCCTTAGTCAGCTCTTACGACACCTATGGAATGAATGACATGAATGAATGGTGTGGTGACACTCCGTATTCGTCATTGCTCGTCATTATTCTGCTTCTGGATTGGTATTTAATTCTTCATATACCTTAATTCAACTCCACAAAAAATGTGTGATGTTGGCGTCAAAATATTATTGCAATTAAAGTTGCCACAGTAAATAAACATTTTACCATTATATGTGGGTTACTAATTCATCTAAAATCTAGTAACTACTTTTGAACTATTTACCTCAATAACGAGTTAGTAAATTAGTTAATTGATTAGCGTTAGAAACTCAATGGTTGTTACAAGTTTTTATTATTAAGTTTTTGGTTTGGTTGGTAATTGTTAATCTTTATATGTACAACTCTTCTGTGCGTGTGTATGGGACGAGCGCCTCCTCAACGGTTTGACTGATTTTGATGAAATTTTTAGTGTGGTCAAGTGGATTCGAGAATGGCTTAGATTTATAATTCGTCGATTTATAGTTCAAAATGTTTTTTTTACATAATTTTATAAGTAGTAGAAAATATATTATAATATAACTTTTTATTTTTTGGCACCAAATGCAATGTAAGTAAGTAAGAATTTCTATTTTATAAAAAAAAAAACAAAATTAAAGAGATGTTTATTTAACGACGCTGTAGTGTGATCCGAAACTTCAATTTACTGTACATTGGCACTCGTTCGGAACATCCAAAACCCTGGTGTTATTATTTAATATGGCAGATACAGCCTCCTTGGTCATTAAATTTACATGGTAAATTTTGAATACACACATGAACGGGCAATAATTACTAGTTTCAAATTCGTTCCTCACTCATACCGCGCACAAAAAACACAACGTTATTTGTTAGGTAAGTAGGTACGAGTAAGAAACTTATAAAAAGATCATTAATCGATTTTTAGAACTACCTTGCCTTGACTCGATGGGCAGTTCTTTGAACTCTTTCCTTTTGGGAATTGCTGTATTCAAAAGTGCCAATCACTTAAATGTTCATCGTCGAAATTTCAGTGCAATCATTGCAATTTTTATTCGTACGATTCTTTGGGATATGAAACTTACAGTTTACCCCAATTGTAATTAAAAAGCAAACAGTAAACTCATTCAATGATTGCAAAACTGAGTTTTTTTGTTATCAGACCGTATTCAAAAATGTCAAGAAGTGAATTTTGCTGGTATGGAAGAAAAATTGTGAAAAACCAAAGAGCAATATGCAACGATTACACATAAACATTAAATATGAATGGCACTCAGAGGTCTTTTGCATATTAAACGAAATAATACTAAAAACTTCATTATCTGTCTGCGCAGGTAAGATAATATATTATTGCGCCGCAAAAATGACTGTTCAAAATCGTTTAAATGTTGTTAAGATACAAAACGATCATGGAATTGAAAGATTATACTAAAATGATAATACTTATACTAAAATAAATACCTTTGAGTTCCTTTCCTTCAGGAACACATCTGCCCTGGTCGAGCACACATTTAATGTACGGCACCAACAATTTTTTATTTTCTAATATTTCGCCCACATTTATATCGTCATATTGATCTGTGTACGTTTCAGACGCTGCAAAACCAGTCAAAGCCATCACCGTGAGCAAAATGGAGGTATTCATTCTGAAAGTTAAATCAAATTAATTATTATTCTGGTTTTTCTCGGATGAAGAGTGAATCTGTTTTTCACTCTGACACCCTTTTTATCATGATAGTAACTTAATGTTCTGTGATAAATTATGATGTAGTTAACCTCTGACAAGAATAAATAATTTATGTAAGTAGCTAAAACTTTTTAATGACAATACCATCCATACAAAATGTATTTTTAAGATAGTATATGCAGACCACTCACCATTAATATCAACTTTCTGAATCCTATATTCAGAAAGTTAATATTAATGGTGAGTGGTCTGCAGTCTGTGTGGTACAAATGGGCGTTCCACAAGGTTCTATGCTCAGGATTTTTTTGTTTTAAGTATATATTAACGACTTACCTCACCTTGTCAAGGACAATCTCGAGATTGTCTATTATTTAGACTAAAACGGACTCTTACTAATTTCACAGACGTAAACAACACCATTTCGAAAGTGGTTCATTGGTTTGACGACAACAATTTGCTTTTAAATAACCAAAAACTAAGTGTATACGTTTCACTACGCCAAACGTCAAGCCAGTGAAAACTACTGTGATTTTAAGGTTGTCGGGTTTGACTTTGTGGACACTACGATATTTTTAGTTATAACACTAGATTCTAAGCTACAGTGGGGCCCACATATTAAATTAAATTATCGATTAGACTCAGCTCAGCAGCACACGCAGTAAGAGAAATTCGAGAGTTGACTGATGTTGATACAGCACGACTTGTTCAGTTCAGTTATTTTCATAGCATAATGTGGTACGGTATTCTATTTTGGGGAATGCTAAAGACATTCACAATATTTTTGTACTGCAAAAGAGAGCGAATCGAGCACTTTATAATTTAGGCAATCGTTGTTCATTGAGGCAGAAATTTTAAGAAATAAACATAATGACAGTGGCAAGTGATGTACATTATAGAAATAAATTTGTAGTACCCACCTATAGGCTCGAAAAGATAAACAAGTTTTTTCGAGGTCAATGTGTACGATTTTATAATAAAATCCCAAACAATATTCAAAACTTAAGTATTAACAAATTTATATCCGCAATAAAATGTGGATTGTGTCAGAAAGCCTATTTATTACTTAATTGTAGGTACATAGAAACCCATAAATGCTTGGCATTAATTAGCGCAGGCTATTTCTCGAGTGCAAATCTAGTGTGGGCTAGTGTTTTTTATTATTATTATTCTTCTCTATTTTTTATATTTCACTTCATTTTCTCTTTTATCCGTTTTTTTTCCTAATCTTGTTTTCTCTGCAATGTCTTTTTACATTTTAAAAATAATTTCAGTTCAATGGCGTTGCAAAGTTGTTCATGAAATAAATTTAAAATAAATCGTACCGGAGCAAGAGAAATGTTCTGTTTTCAACACCAGATTAGTTGGCTTTAACGTTGTGTGTACAGATTTGCGGGATTTAATTAATAATTTCAATTTCATTTTCAATTTATTGCATGCTTATTAAATAATTATACTGAATAAAAAAAGAGTACCTGTTCTTCGTCGAGCACTGAATTATCTATGATGAATTTAAAGACTGATGATCCAAGAAAAATGTATATCATTTATACCATTGATATTACTCTGTACGGAATACGTATGCCTATTGTTATTGTAATTATTAATGATAAGTACTTAGCGCACGAACTTGATTTAATTGTCCTGTTATTCTCCATGTTTCTACATGTTGTCCTTTATAGAAACGCGTCAAGTCACTAAGGCTCAATAGCTATTAAGTGTATAAATCTAGCGTTTATCCGAATTTTAGATCATCATCATCTTAGATGTATATAAAAGTAATCCATTAATTTATGGTTTAAAATAAGGTATGAAAGATTTTTATAAACTTTTTTTTTTCGCTTATTCACATACATGAGCTCTATTCCTGCTTGGTAAGATAAGATCCAAATACGATGGAAAGCTATTTGGGATGATCCTGACATATGTGCCTTTTTCAAGTTCATCAGTACTTTTATACACGCTTGCCCTCTTTATTAAACTGCTGGTCTTGTCAGTATATGTATTTTTGGGCATACTACACCGCCTTTCATTTACAAGGACCTTATAATCTCTAACCCGCCCACTTATTTATTGCATTAGCAACAAAAGTGATGTATTAAATAAGTATTAATATGTAATTTATAACTAAATTAGTTCATCTGTCCTTAAATCTAACTTTCTGTCCTTAAATTTTATATTCGCGGTAATAAATTCCGATCCATAATATGTATAAGCTCATGGTTAGAAATATAAGTTCACTGTACAAAGTTATTTTTAAGGTATTTTTTAAGGTACAAACAATTGTAATAATTTTTTGTATTATTAAACATAAAAAATTCAATTAAATTCAAAAATTCACAAAATTTTACTCCAAAACAATAGGCACATAATCCAAACACCCTACAAACTTAAATATACTTAAAAGGCGTAGTATACGATATCAGGCCTTAGAATAATTGTATTCTTCCGCTGGCATGTAATTATGTAAACAGGTCTTTAAATGATTTGATTTTAAATAGTCAAGCTGTTCTTACGGGATGGGATCTAAAAACCTAGGGTAAACGGTGGGTTTTCCTCCTCAGTTACTATGACAATGAATTCAGCTAATGAACGCTTAATTAAATTAATTACATTTTGACGTATATTAACTTACTATAATGTTGTATAAATAGTAATATAACATATGTAAAAGTTTTGTAACATTTTTTAACCCTTTTTTATTAATTCTTGTTTTGTGAATAAGCAATAACTAGTAGAAGTTTTGATTGATTTGTTGTTTCTACGTTATATGTCCAGTAAGTGGATAAAATCGCTGGCAAAACCTAATCGATTTATATAATATACTAGTTACATGTGGGTTCCGAAAATAGTTGAGCATCCATCCGAAATATATACTTGAGTAAAATATATTCTACATTTATTAGATAAACTTTTGCGCTAATTTTTTGCGAATAGATCCGTGCATGCGGCAAACGTGTCAGGCCCAGTCCCACTCGATTGCGGCGGCTTTATGAGTGACATCTGCGATTTGTATTTTGGGTCGTAGTACGGTATTTCTTTTTGGGTCTACTACTACGCTCCATGGCTCGCTAGTAACCTTCCAGCGAGGACTTCATATACATATAGGCTGACTAACATACTTAAATAAATTTTAAATACATACATATATAGATAAATTACACGCGACACAGAACAAATCATCGTGCTTATCCCAGAATGACTTATCATATCTTATGGTGACTATGACTATGAGTTATCTTATGGTGGGAATCAAACCAACCACCTTCAGCTTAGCAGTCAGGGTCACAAACCACTAGACTAACAGTTATAAATTACAAATATAAAATATATCGTCAGTCACGTCGTTAACAAATTTAACGCCTTCGCAAAACATGTTTGCAATGCACATGAACGCGTCAAGTCAGATGAGGTACGAAAATAAATTAGTCACTCAAAAAAAAAGGTATTTTCTTCTCAAACTTTTAGTTTTTAAGCTAGATTGAGAAAAGTAATTTATTTGAAAGTATTTCTAAGTTAGTTTATATATGTTTATTCCTTTTTTATTAGCTTCTTGACCGTTCATACGATTTTGACACTGCAAAAACGTTCCTAATTGAAACCACATAAAGGTTTTTTCACAAAACAGTGAATAAACGAAAAATGTTAATTCACTGTTTTGTGTTTTTTTTTTAATGTAAAACGAGAAAACGGGTCACTTGCTGGTAATTGAGTATCGCCGCCCATAGACACTTGCGATACCAGAATTTGCCTTTTTGTCCACCAGAATTTTGAATTATAGGGGAGTTGGGGCTTAAGGAAGTCTCTATCATTCGGTGAAAACAAATGAAAAAATTTCTTAACATTCATTTTCTCGGAGGTATCACCGCTTGAGCCGGCGCATGTTTTTCGAAACATGGCTCTCCCCGGCCCCCCCCATGACTTTGCCCTTAAAGCTAGAGTATAAATAAAATTAAATAAGTTCGTTTCTAAGCGCAAGGGTATGTCTTCATTTGGTTATACGTTTATCATATGGTTGACAAACAAATTACGTTTAAATTTAAAACGTCAAAAAAGAAAGATATTTTCTATGGTATAAAATGGAATAGGACGATATGTTCCGGGGAGCTAGAAAGTACGAGTAACAATTCACAGTATACTTTTCAGGACTTATACATTTGAACTGTAAATAGACGTACCTACATTGGGAGAGGATTTGAGAAACATGTACTGAATGACTGAAACCACCGACTTGCACAGTCAGTACGTTTGCTGTTAAAGTACGTTTCAATAAGTAAATAATACCTATTTAGATTCAGCCCAGATTAGCAAGTAAGCACAGTATGGGCCCAAAAATTGATTTATCATAAACCTTTGAAGACATTATTAAAATGTAGATCTATTTTAGATGTAGGAAAAACATTATTTAACAAAAGCCGTCAACCCTTTATCTTGTTATAGTAATACAAAAAAAAACATAAAATTTTCTTATGGTTTATTAAAAAAAAATTGTAAAAATAAACAAACAATAAGTATTAGAGCAACTTTATACATTTTTCAAAAAGAATTTACATAATATTATTTATGTAATTTCACAATAACAAAATTTAATAAATAGAGTTTTTGAGAACACTCTTGTGTAATCAAAAAAACTTAAATTTAATGGAGCAGTTGCATGGCATAAGGCTGTTCACTAAAGTATTAAATTTTTGAATATCCAAATACTGCTCATCAAAACTTGTGTAGTTCGTACAAATCATGATCCCAAGCTCCGATTTATTCAGGGATTTCAATACCGGCGGCTCTTGCACGGTCTTCATACTTCTTCCTATAGGTTCCTTTAGGGTCGAACTTGGCTGTCAACTCACGCCAGATTTTAATCTCGTTCTTGATCAGATGCTCAATCACCTTGTAAGATCCCTTCTCTTGGTTTTCTGTGCATTTGGCGCAACCAGTCTCAATAGCTTCTTGCAAGTGATCTGGAAAATTTTAAAGAAAACTGTTCAGTACAGTGCTTTTTAGGTACATCTTGCCCTCATGACTTGTGGTATGTATTTTCATCAATCATCATCAACAGCCTTTAATAGTAAACTGCTGAAAATAGGCCTCTCCTCTATTAATCTATGTAAATTAACTAAGTCAGTTCTTTTATTCTACTAAGATGGCTATCGCATTTTATAGTTCTGTAGAATGAAAATTTGATGATTGAATTGAATTGAAATAACGAAAGTTCATATCTGAGGATGATAGTCAGCTATCGATATATCTAAAAGTAATACATTTTGTTAAGAAAATTTGTAACTAAATAAAGCGATTGGATAAAGGATGATGCACGCTACACGGTGTCGCGACCAGACCGGGTCATTCAATGGGAGTCATTCATGTTACACCAGGCTGTTTGGGTGTATCTTTTGCATGGCCGTGTCTGTGTTATGTGATTTTTGTCAGCTAGTGATTTTATCGTCGATAGACTTGAAGCTTAAGTAAATATGCAATTTGCACAATTTGAATTGGCAGCTATTGCAATTGCCATCGATGATGAAGGCAATGATGATATACGGCAGGCTGGACTAGTAACAGATAACATAATTATTTTATAATATATATTTTAAATCTTGCTTTATGATTAATAAATTGTAAATTGCACATACAGTACATTTTTTTATTGTTTGGGATGTAAATGAGCAGACGGGTCACGAGATTTTAAAGACTACCGGCGTCCAAGTACACTTGCAAATCAAGTGACACAAGTTGCCGCCCTTTGAATCGTTCCCAGAATTAGAATTAGAGGGAAGGGGAATGTTTGGGCTCCGGTTACCTCACTCACTCGGTGAAAAGCAACGAAAGAACTGAGGCCCAAGTGCGAGCTTATTTCACATCGTAGCGCCGAACGCAGTCACGTGACGATCGAGTAGAAGTAAAATATACTCGCACTTGGCCCTCTGACTAACTCAATTTCTTTGTGTGCCCGCGGTTTCACCCCGGACGAGCCTGGCCTAAACGTGCAGGAGCATGGCCTGCCCACGTTCTCACAGTTTTTGCATTGCATTAAATGCATACAGTACAGATCGTGAAACAATGTTTCCTTAACTCATCGTTAACATGATTGTCAGGTGACAATAGTTCCGTTGACGTGACTTGCTTAAATACTACTCAAATAATTTCCTGTCGTAGCTAGTCGCAATGTTGTTATTTATTTCGTATGTGTAACTATTTGTAGGAAGTTTACTCATGAAATATAGACCCCACACGAACTATCTCACGGATTTAATTAGGACTAGTTCCAAATAAATACTGAATTGAAATAATTAAACCGTTTATATTGCAAGTAATAGTTGGTCATATAAAACTATATCAAGGTCTGATACCCTATCTGATACCTACTAATGATCATTTGAATACATTTGAACCACGGAGCATATCTAAGGCAACTAATTATGTTTGGCCGTGATCAACGCTCCAAGTGTGCCAAGATCTAAACAGTAACAACTAAATATCCATATTGCACATTACTGTAAAGATTATCACTCTAATGACCAACATTAGTTATGAAATGTGTATTTCAAGGTGTATAATATGCAACAGTTCAATTATATGTTTCAGTGGTAGAAGGACGTAAGGAATGCGTTACAAATGGCGAGATTTTCAAACACCCACATTTAACTCACTATATTTTTGCTATATTTTTTGAGAAGCCATTATATTTATATTCTGTTTCACTATCGAAAGTTTTATCATAATTAACATAATGAGAATTCGTTAAAAACCGCCGAACAACAAAGAATTATTTGAAGCAGTGGTGCGGCGTCGATCTGGGGGGGACCTGAAATCATATGGCCCGTGTCCTCTCTAGAACAGGGCACCTAAGGCTGGCCGTCGGGCTGGTTTTTAGTGGAAACACCACATACTCCTGGCTCCTCAAGAAGCCAGAGATCCGAAGGAATTTTATATTTAAAAAAAAAGGTATGTGATTAAGAGAAAAATGAAAATTATAATAACGAGAACTAACGCCATTGTGTAGTATCTACCTAATCGAGTATATATCTCTCCATTTCCTCTTATCCTCCCTCCATTTATATACTCAAATAATTATGTATCATAGAAAGCAAAAGTTTAAAACTTTGTCTATGAAATATACTAATAAATACACGAAGATTTGCGATGGAAGATCGCCACGCGATAGCCACACCGCTAAAATAAAAAATTTGGAAGGTTCACCAAAGAATTAGAGGAGGTTTCGATCGAAACTGTTAAATTTTGAAATCTTGCTGTGGAGTCTGTGAATACTCTTGCACCAAATAAAGTGGAGCCTCAAAATATATAGCACTCACAACAGGTCATGCACTCTCAACGTGAATCATTAGCATATCAATTTGAACTTTCAACGACTCCTTTAATTCAAATCCGCGCTCATTATGACGTGATGGCGAAAGACTACGATGAAAGATTGTAATAAATCAAGTTTTCAAGAATATAATGATGACAATATTTATATTGATTGTATCTCGTATCATCCTGGAGCGTTTCTATATATATATATATATATTATGAAAATCAACTTCTCTGATTATCTTTTTGCACATCGCTCGTAATATGGTTACTAGTACACGGATATATGTAATTCGTCTCTTTACTGTTTATTACATAATAAAGAGATATGTTTCTGTTTACACACACATATAGAAACATCCAGCCGGATGCAAGTATGCTGAGCTCCAGTTATTGGTTGATCGTTGGGCTTTTGTAACAAACAATTTATCTCACAGCAATAACCGTGTAGATTTAATCGTCACACACACACATTTCACACACGGTCGTCTGATCCCAAACTAAGTAGTGCCTGTGCTGTAGTAAACCAGACTGCTGATAAACATACTCCTTTATTTCAAATATAACCAAATCATACTATCACTCATCACATAATTATTTGTGGGTGGGAATCAAACTCATGACCTCTGGCTTAGCAGTCAGGATCACTATCCACTAGACCAAGAGGCATGGAACCACAGATTTAAGGATTATCTTTTAAGGTATTTACCTTTTAGCTCCTTGCCTTCTGCAGTACATTTGCCATGGTCCATTATACAGTTGACGTAGGCATCTAACAGCCTTTTATTTTGCAGGATTTCATCCAAGTCAAGGTTGTCATATTTGTCCGTGTATTTATCTTCTGCAACGACCGCGACAGCGATACAGCAAAGTACAAGGAGGTACTTCATGGTTTCTCTGAAATTTTTAAGAGTTTAGTTTGAGAGTGAGTCAATATTTAGAAATATTGATGAGTTTCAAAATTCTTTAAGATATTTGTATTACGTTTGAGTTCTTTTAATCAAAAGAATTATCACAAGTAGAGAATATACAGATAACCTTTTTTAAAGGCAGCAAGCTAAAGTCAGCTAGTATATTTATTTAGTACGCAAACATTGGTTTATTTTGAAAATAAACAAAATGACTAAGTAAATCTTATGAATATAATTAAATAAAAAACTTGGAATAAAAAGATATATTTCAAATTAACAAGTATCTTTTACCTTCAAGGATATATTATTTACATGTTAATACGACCAAAGATTTAATATAGATTATAGTATATTTATTAAATAATATTGCGTGTTTATTAGATAAATTAATTTGTCTTTACAAAGTATTAAAATTTACTTTTAACTAAAAATTATTTTGCGTCTATATAAGAGTAACTAATTGTAAAATCAATTACATTTGCATGTTAATTAATTTTCACTAAAATTGTGTGCACTAAAATGTTTAGCACTTAATATACAAATTAAATTAATTTGAATTTGAACTATTATTTAGTAATAATTTCTAAGCCTTATATTATGTGTATTATTACAAATATATAATGAATAACGCAAGACCTACCGTTTTGTTTCCGAACAGTAATCTCCAGTGGCTGTCTGTGAGTTATGATTCCATCGTAATGATATGGCACTATATATAGTGGACGCTGCTGTGCTTAAAACATCTAATTTGTCCCTGGTTAGTGCATTATTTCATCTGTCTTCGGTATACAGCACTTTGTATACAGGTTGCTCTTTATTTGCTAAGTCTAAATATATTTAAACATTAGGTATTGCACAACACAGTACTGTAAATAAAAAGCGTAATATTGAAATTGGAACGCAATTAATGATACATAGTATAGCGGTAAAGTAATATTTTCGTAAGGTAGTATGTAATAAAAACATTAAAAAATGAATGCATTGCATTAAACAGAATTATTATTATTGTAACTAAATTTTAAATGATTTTTTTTCGTATAAGTTGTGTGTGTAGCTGGTTAAGTTACTCGTATAGTTTTGACCAGACTTGTCTTTTTGACAGTTTTGTCTTAGCAGAATAAGTGTCCAAATAGTTGTAGAAACCATAACAGGACCATAACCGAAAATGCCTTAGCGGTGAACCATAAAAACATAAAACATTTCAAATAGACATTAAACGATCTGGCTACTGGGAGCAGTAATAGTCAGCACTGCAGGTACGAAATTTTATATACATACCTATTATATTTAACTTAGATATACCATATATACCATATTTACTAATCATACCGTGGGTGTCCTAAGAGCCGCCTAAGGGAGGAAACTACGCAGGTCAACAGCACTGCAAAGACAGGCAAACTTGACACAAACCCTGTACCAACTCGTCTGGCCAGCGTGGTATAGTAGGCCCAAACCGTCTTTCTAAGGAAAAGCCTATGTCTAGCAGTGGACTATTAAAGGCTGTTGATGATTTGTTTAATAATGTCTGACTTGGTAAATCAATAAATTAATTAAAATAATATTTTCTTATTAAATTGTTTACTTACTTAAATTAGTAATCTTTCTTATAAAACTAAACAATTTTTTAATAAATCATCTCAACAGTACCAACATAGTTTAAATTAAATTCTGATGAATTCTTTGATCAAAGTGGGTACCCGGGATGCTTCGGGGATCACCTGTGTCTGATCCGCCAGGAGCCAACGCCTGGGTGCCACCACTGCGATGGCCGGACCATGGACCCGTGAATGCCCGGCGTGGGTGGAGCAGAGGTCGGGGTGGCAGATCTCTCGTTCAGTAGAAAGTAGGCGAAGGACATGGTGGAGCGAGACTGGGAGAGGTTCAGAACCCTCCCGGCTCGCCAGGCCCGAGACCGGGCCAGGTGCCGCAGACGGCTCGGGCGCCGGAGGACGCAGAGCGACCTCCGTCGTGACAGGTGAGGCCATCTGTCACTCTAGCAGAAGCAGGCCGGGGTGGGTAATGGCGCGACGCGCTACTGAGCGCGCGCGCCCTTCTGAGCAGGAAGGGAACATCCGGATTCCCACACAGGAGGGGTCATCTAGGGGTAAGCCGTAGATGGCATCTATAAGCCGCAGATAGAAAAAGAAAAGGGTCTGACAATAAAATAGTAACCGGGTGATAAAAATTTAATATACCCGGATACAACCGGATCCGGTTACCCGAGTAGAAACCCGTACTGGTAACATTTTTGTATTTTGCAGTATATTTATAGACGATTAGTGTGTATCAAAATGTGAAAGGGTTAAGTCAACATAGACACTTTACATTCAGGTCTCAAGCAATAATAGCCGTAGAACTAAGTTGCAGTATTATCGCTCATCGCCATTACGTAACACACAGATTTCTTTAGTTTTATAATTTTAGTCATCTAGACTTATTATTACTCGTATCAATACATATTATCCAATCAGTGTATTACTTATTCATGCTAAACTCACCAAAAAAATAAGAAAATAAGCTTTGACTGAAATACATTTTGTTTAATTAATCAATTTTATTTCATTTAAAACCTTTGTTTTATTAATTTATTTAAAAACTTTTTATTGTTTATTATTTTTTAACGAACTAAATCAGACATACTTTGACTGCGCGGATGGCGTAGTAGTTTAAGCGGTCGCCCTGCCACTTACTACTACGCCGAGTGTTGTGGGTTCCATCCCCACATGGGACGGCAACTTATGTGATCATGATCAACAAATTGTCGTTCTGCGTTCATCCTAATATAATAATGGAAACCTCTTCATATTTTAACCTAATAGTATATAATTTTGTATATAACACACATGCAAAATAATATATTATCATTACATGTATATTATCTAATCAGTGTATTACTTATTCATGCTAACTGCATAGCAGCATGATGAAGAGAATTACAATTTTATAAATTAATTAGATACCTACAGAAAGTTCAATTTCATATTACGCATAATAATATGTACAGCCAACTACCTGGTTGCATTTTCTACTATGTGTATAGTATTAGTAAACAATGTTCTATTAAAGAACGATACAAGGATATTGTATCATTACAGAGTAAAACGAAGATATTGAGACACATACTCGTAAATTACATTTAAACTGATAGCAATTTGTCGTCCTCAGTTGTATAAAGAAATTTCAATATTTGTTTAATAAAATAAATAAAATCATATCCTAACTATTTTATAAACGATCGTTAAAAATAATATATTGCATAGTAAATTATGTAACTGAGTTTTGCAATCATGTTTCTTTAACAGGAGCATTTTAAAATATTTTTTAATTTCTTTCTAAAGATTAGGGTATAATTGTTCTTCCGCGATACTGCGACGACCGCAGCGAGTGCTGGCCATCAGGATCATAAGGGGGTACCGCACGATCTCCTTTGAGGCGGCGAGTCTCCTGGCCGGAACTCCACCGTGGGACCTGGAGGCGAGAGCCCTTGCGGCTCTGTATAAGTGGCGCAAGGAGGCGCGGGAGTTGGGTCGGTGTCCCGAGACCCGAGAAATCGATGACCGGAAATCCCAACTCCGCCAGGTCATCATAGGGGAGTGGAAGGAACGACTCGGGCAAACGAGCGCCGGGCACGCCGTCATCGCGGCGGTAAGACCCGTTATGGAGGATGGGCTCGAGAGGCGTCACGGGACCCTCTCATACCGACTGACGCAGGTGATCACTGGGAAAGGATGTTTCGGGGATCACCTGTGTCTGATCCGCAAGGAGCCAACGCCTGAGTGCCACCACTGCGATGGCCAGACCGTTGACACGGCTCTCCACACGCTGGCAGAGTGCCCGGCGTGGGTTGAGCAGAGGCGAGACCTCGTGGCGGCCATCGGAGTGGGAGTTCTCTAGCTCGATAGCCTGATTGCGGCTATCGTGCGGAGCGAGAGTGCGTGGAACTCTGCCGTCTCCTTCTGCGAGCAAGTTATGCTCGCGAAGGAGACGGCGGAGCGGGACCGGGAGAGGTTTAGGACTCTCACGGCCCGCCAGGCCCGGGAACGGGCCAGGTACCGCAGGCGACTCAGGCGCCGGAGGTCGCAGAACGACCTCCGTGCTCCATAAGCGCAGGCCTGGGGGTGACAGGTGAAGCCATCTGTCACCCTAGCAGAAGCAGGCCGGGGTGGCGGCGAGCGCGCTGCAAACCGCGCTCGCGTCCAGGGAGCAGAGGGAACATGGGGTTCCCACACGGGGGGGGGGGGGGTCGTCTACTCCTCTGTAGATGGAACGAGGTATGTCGGGGCACCAGGGACTTCCTTTCTAGGGTATACCTGGTTCCCCGGCTATTAGTACCCGAGACGGCGTGCGGTTTTAGTCGGTTCGAGTCCGACATGCCACCGATAGGTGGTTTCCGAGGGGATTTCCAATTTCGAAAAAAAAGGGTATAATTGTTGACGTCAGCATTTCTAAACATCGTTCTGTCATGGCTTAATCGTCTAATTTTAGTGACCCAGTGACTTAGTTCAAAATTGTTTAAAGAATTAGCAATCTTAGTATGCATGAGTAAAAATAATTATTGCGCTGAAAGAAAATTAAGAAAACAGGTCGTATTTAAAGGCCAAAATACCTTACCCAAAGTTTAACTTCTCGTATTATTTCCATTCATTTAAACGCAAATCTGAAGAAGATGTTTAAGAAGGTTTCCTATCTCAGATGTGAGATCAAAGCGGCCAGTGAAGTAACAGGCTGCTCTAATGATTGCATTGTCTAATGTGAATGTATTTTAACAATCTTCATCTAATCTTAATCTAGTTCTAACAAGTCTAAACGATTTAACCAATTATCAAGACATTTTGCAAGAGTGTTGTCAATGGCTTACAAAAAAAGACTAGACTGTATTCTTACAGATAAAAGTACTGTATATTGATTAGCAAAATTTATATTAAACCAGTCGAACGGAATTATAAATAATAATATTCATGAACAATTTTAAGCACATGCTGTATATAATTGTATTTAAGGGGCTACACTTACAGGGTTACGCGTCTATGACTCTTGCTTTACCCTTGAAAATACTCGGACGTGCATTGTACATTATATTTTGATATCTCAACACTAATCACTTACCTGACTCAAATAAAATGGTTGAGATAAACATTAGAGGAATGACACAGAATTAATATTTTTTAATAATATATTTTATATTGAGGCCAGAGGCAATTTTAAGCTCAATACCCCTGGAATCTAGTACCTTGGGTCTAGACTGTTTGCGAACTTGATGATTTTGATATATTATTGATACAGATAATTCGGTTCGTGGAGCAAGTGCCATACACATTTTTTATGGATTGCATTGATTTAAACACATTCAAAAAGGTATTCTATCCATGCTAGTTCATACTAATAATATAAATGCGAAAGTGTGTCTATCTGTCTGTCTGTCTGTTACCTCTTCACGCTTCAATAAATCAGTTTAGTGGTTTAACCACTAAACTGATTTATTAATTCGGTAACGAGATCGTCCGAGTCCCGGCAAGGACATAGGGTAGTTTTTATCTCAGAAGTTTGTATGGGGAATTAATAACGGCCGAACTGATGTGCCATGTGGTGATGGATTAAGAGTACGGTTTGTCGCCACCCCTATTCATCCTGAGGGTGTCGTAAGAGCCGACTAAGGGAACAAACCTCGCAGGACAACAGCACTGCAAAAAGAAGGAAAACTTGAAACAAACCCTATACCAACCCGTCTGGCTAGCATGGTATACTCGTAGTAAACCAAAACCTCCTTTCTAAGGAGAGGCCTATGTCCAGCAGTGGACTATTAAACGCTGTTGATGTGATGTGTTGATGTGAACTGATCAAATTCGGTATGAAGATACTTTGATTCTTGAGGAAAGACAGGCTACTTTATACCGCGATTACCGACATTTAGGCGGGCGGACCTGCGGGAAAAAGCTAATTCAGTATAGATCAAAAATTTCAGTATTTGTATTAAAACAAGGCTTATTATTCCTTTAGTGTCTTGGTTAGTTCATCTTCTTATTTATATAAAAGTCATAAATACGTATAACATAAACAACATAAAAGTCAGTAATGAAGTTATATTTTTATTAGGTATTTATTCTCGTATGGAAAACAATATAAAATGATAATAATACTAGCAAACTTAAAGTAGATG